TATGCTTTTCAACATGTCATGTGTGGTAATCAACAGTTAGTAAACAAAGTTTCAGTCTAATATCTTACACAGTGCGACGCTGGAAGAGTCATCCATTAATCAACAGTTTTTTATTTATGTGTGGGTGGAGATTAAGGGTGCATTCTCACTAGCCCTGTTTAGTCCGCTTTAATCGAACTCTAGCTCGTTTTCCTTGAAAGTCCGGCTCGTTTAGGGAGGTGTGAACGCGCCATCGAACTCTGTCACGGAAAACAAAAAGGCGAACTCTGGCCCAGGCTAAAACCTAGGTCTCGGTCCGGTAGAAGAGAACTCCAGCGCGGTTCCAGTACAGTGTGAATGCAAACAGACCAGACCCCGCTCCACAGGGTAAACAAACACGCATTGCTCTGACCTTATATGGAGCCGTCAGCTGCCTTGTGTGGAAAAACAATATTCTCCATGGTCTTCTGTCTCATCTTCTGCTCATGCTAAGTCCATTTTTAAAACATGACAAAATATAACTCCTAAAACTGCTAAAACTTGATGCCACTTCATTTTTATTTTTATTTACAGAAGAAGCAGACGTGTCTTCAGAGGTTTTTGTGTCGTTTCTTTCAGTAGTTCTTGGTGCAGTGCCCCCACAGGCGAGCGGGGGAATAGGTTGGTTCAACTGGTTGACTCGACTGCACAGTGCAGTGTGAATGCAAACTCACCAGCTCAAATGTAAACCAAAGCTCATGAATATTGGTCCTGAACCGAACCGAGTCTACCGGACTATCTAGTGTGAAAACGACCTTAGTGATGTCATGACTCAACATTACTAATGTGTCTACAAGTGCTCAATGATGAAGCACAAAAAATCAGGTCCAGATCGGATGATGTATCACTGAGATATAACTGTTGGAATAATCTATGGGGCGCACTGGAGTCATATGTTAAACCACATTATCAATGTGTCTACAAGTGCTCACTGATGACGCACGATAAATCTGGTGCATATCAGATGATGTGTCACTGAGATAAAACTGTAGGAATAATGTAGTGGGTGCTGTGGAGGCTATTGGCCACTTATCATGGATTCCTGTTCAAGGGATGGATAATGATTGATCATAGTGATTTTGGTTCATCTCTGCTCAAATCTGTGCAATTTAGAGCCAAACGTATTGCAACGGCTTCACTTCTTAATTCGTCACGCTGCCACACCCACATCCTCCAGCTAAAACTGTTTGTAATTTAAATCAAGTCAGACCAACTTGTTATATGTCTTCTACCACAGGATTATCCTGATTAGGTCAAGGGTGTCAGAGAGGAAGCATTCAAAGTAAAAAAAGTGGCTTCCTGTTCTGAGGGGGTGGGGCTTTTCTTACCTCAGAATATGATCACAGAGGATCGTCAGGCATCCAACAGGGATGACTCTTGCCAAGTTTGGTGCATTTCGGTCTTTCAATGTAAAAGTTATAGTATTTGTAAATTAACAGCGTGAATAGCAACTTTGATGCCTGGCCACACCCCTTTAACATATACAAAAATGCAAGCTTTTGATAAGGTTTACTCCTCAATGTTTTAAGGGCATATTAACCAAGTTTGAAGGCAAGCCTTCAAAATCCCTAGGAGGAGTTAGTTAAAATTTGAAAATTAAAAACGCCCAAAAATGACCCTTTGACCCAAAATGGCTGACTTCCTGTTGAGTTTGGACCAGGGCTCCAAGAGACTTTTTCATAGATCCCGAGAAGATACAGATGTTTGCCGAGTTTCAGAATTATTTGTTATAAATTGGCTTGGAGCTGAGGTTTTAAAATATTCTAGGGGGCGCTATGGATACCATCGGCCACTTATCATAGATTCCTGTTCAAGGGGTGGATAATGATCGATCACTGATTTTGGTGCACCTCAGTTCAAATCTGTGGAATTTAGAGCCAAACGTATGGCGACGGCGTTATGTCTTACTTCGTCACACCGCACCGTCCACATGTTCCACCCAAAACTGTCAGTGTTGGAAAGCAAGTTACATCACATGTCTTCGGTCACTGGACACACTTTCATGCTGATTACGTCACAGGGGTCAGATAAGGACCATTCAACATAAAACTTTACATTTCCTGTTGTCAGGGGTCGTGGCTTAAGTGTTGTCATGATTTGACCATTCAGTCTTGCAGGGGACTGGATGTGGATCAGTCTCTGAAGGTTTGATGTCTCAGACAGGTTTCTTGTAAGAGCTATTAGCCTTTTGTTTTTCATGGCGAGATGTCAAACTTTGAAGTCTGGCCTCACCCCCTGAGCGTGCTCCGAAACGCACCGTTTAGAAAACTTCGTCCCTATGCCTTTTGAACAAAATGGCCAAGTTTGAAACCGATTGAGCAAAATCCTTAGGAGGAGTTTGTTCAAATGCAGAGGCCGTAAACTGCCAAAAAGATGTGAAATTTGGGACGGCATTCCAAAATGGCCACCTTCCTGTTTATGTACAATGTTGATGCCAGAGGGTTTTCTGTGCATTTTGGGGAAATGGACAAGCTTACCAAATTTCATGCTTCTACGACAAACTAAGGTTAAGGTGTAGGTTATTTAGAAAATTTCCAGGTGGTGCTCTTGAGCCGTTTCTGTTGCGATTTTTGCGACACCCTTAAAATACATAATTCTTTCCAGTCCTTATGAGTCTGCCAAATTTAGTGAGTTTTGGGATATGTTAAGGCCCCCAAAAGGCCAAATCATTTCACGAAAAAATTACTCGGGCCTAATGAACCGAGCAATTACAATAGGCCTTCGCAGCGCTTCGCTGCTCGGACCTAAAAATTGTAGAAACGTTTCATCTTTCATCCGAAAGACTTCCTCAGTCTGAGGTGCTGTATTCAGCTCAGTCTTATAAATAGTACCCTCTCGCTGTGGATCAACCAGTTTGCTGCTGACAGCCAAAACCAGCTGCTCACATAATCAAAAAGGACCATCAGCCTAACAATGGATCATTAGCACACTGATGGCTGTTTGTTATTCACAGGGGGCTGAGTGATACTAGCAATAACAGCATTGTAAGAGGGGTACAGTTGAACACGGAGGCCTCCACTCCTGTTTAATGATGGACGGTTTCTTTTCACAAAGATGGCCTCCTTTACTGTCTACACTCATCTCCAGGCCAGTGGTCACTCCTTCAGGGATGAAGATGTTCACATCCTTGATAGCAGCAAACTGGATGATCCACTGTGAGACGATGCTATTTATAAGATTGAGCTGAATACAGCACCTCAGACTGAGGAAGTCTTTCGGATGAAAGACGAAATGTTTCTACGGATTTTTTTTTTGGATGTCCAGAGGACCAGATTAAACTTTTTTAGATGTCTGAGACTTCAAACCTTCAGTGACTGATCCACATCCGGTCCCCTGCACGACTGAATGGTCAAATCATGACATCACTTAAGTCATGCCCCCTGACAACAGGAAGTGTAAAGTTTTACATTCGTAGTGAACTAGGCCTCTTGTAACGAGTCTGTATGGATCAGCACAAGACCTGACTCAGGACATTAAAATAAAAGGTTTTATTTATTAAAGGCGTTTGTCTGGGAAGGATCCGAGCCTTAGTTCTGGTCCAATCTATGAAGACAGACAGGTTAGTGACTGCAAAAAGGTTCTGGAAGCTGAGAGAGGTGGTGTGCACGTCACTAACCTTCTGTGGCAGGAGCAGGGCTGAGACAGAGAACGTTGGAGGGCTGGGCAGGAAACAGAATCCAGGGACGTAGCAGGGGTCGAGAGCCAGGAGCTGTGTGAACAGGCAAAAGGATGATCCGTAGTCATGGTCGAAGAGGAGAGCGAGGTTGAACTTTGTAGGCCGAGAGCGTGGTATCCAGACAGGGGCAAAGACAAAGCGAGGAGTCAAGAGGGAAGCTGTGGTCAAAAACAAAGAAACTAGGAACAAGCGAATGCTGGATAATTTACTGGCTGTGAGGCTTTCAATAATCTGGCACTGAGGAGAGTGAGAGTGGAGCTTAAGTAGTGAGCTGAACAGGTGTGGCAGGTGAGTGGTGATTGCAGAGACAGGGTGCAGCAGATGAGTGCAGATTGCTGAGAGAGAGTGACAGGAGCAGAAAATGGGTGATAGGCAGTGCAGGACCAAACAGGATGAAATAAACAGAAACTGAGGCAGGAAAAAACGTGAATGATCTTAAAACAGGGGCTGTGATATGAGGAACAGAGGCTTAGACAGATGGGGGGGCAGCGGGGGCCGCTGAGCGTGACATAGCCCCCCCTTTAAGGTCCGGCATCCTGACGGACCACCAAAGAGAAAGAACTAACAAGGACCGGGCGGGTGGAGGGGGCACTGGAGGTGGGCAAAAAGGCAGGTTGGAGGTCTGAAGGGACCTCCAGAGAAGCCCCAAAACTCTGGTGGACGACCTGGCCACTGTCCAAAAAGTGGCAAAGTCCAGGTCAGATGGCCGTGTAAGCCTTGCTGGGGCCAGATCAAAGGTAAGACCAGGACCAGTGCTGCACCAGGCAGGAGGATCAGAGCTGCAGCCCACATGGATGTCCTGGGAACCGTTGCAGCCGACATGGGGGTCCTGGAGGCCGTTGCAGCCGACATGGGGGTCCTGGAAGCAGTCTCTGCCGACATGGGGGTCCTAGAAGCAGTCTCTGCCGACATGGGGGTCCTGGAGGCCGCTTTGGCCGACATGGGGGTCCTGGAGGCCGCTTTGGCCGACATGGAGGGCCGTGGGTCAGCTGCAGCAGACATGGAGGGCCGTGGGTCAGCTGCAGCAGACATGGAGGGCCGTGGAGCTGCTGAAGCCGACATGGGTGATTGTGGAGCCTTTGCGGTAGGCGGCAAATCTTCTGCGGTAGGTGGCAAATCTTCTGCGGTAGGGGAGAGCGCCGGCCCCTCTGGAGACATGGAGGTCTGGAGGGGAGCCGCAGCCGACGTGGAGGCCTGGAGGGGAGCCGCAGCCGACGTGGAGGCCTGGAGGGGAGCCGCAGCCGACGTGGAGGCCTGGAGGGGAGCCGCAGCCGACGTGGATGTCTTGGAGGCCATCGCTGCCGACGTGGAGGACCGAGGAGCTGGTGCGGTCGACGTGGAGGGCCGAGGAGTCGACTCTTCTGTGGTAGGAGGGGAATCTTCTGTGGTAGTAGAAAGCGCCGGCCCCTCTGGAGACGTGCAGAGCGCCGACCCCTCTGGAGGCTTGGGGAGCGCCGACCCCTCTGGAGGCTTGGGGAGCGCCGACCCCTCTGGAGGCTTGGAGAGCGCCGACCCCTCTGGAGGCTTGGAGAGCGCCGACCCCTCTGGAGGCTTGGAGAGCGCCGACCCCTCTGGAGACTTGGAGAGCGCCGACCCCTCTGGAGACTTGGAGAGCGCCGACCCCTCTGGAGACTTGGAGAGCGCCGACCCCTCTGGAGACTTGGAGAGCGCCGACCCCTCTGGAGACTTGGAGAGCGTCGGACCCTCCGGAGACGTGGAGATCTGGGGAGCTGCTGGGGCAGCTGGCCTGGGGCTCTGTGGGACCACGGCAGCTGGCCTGGGGCTCTGTGGGACCACGGCAGCTGGAGTTTCTGATAAACTCGGAAATTTCTCCAAACACAACATCCATTGTATCCAACATTGCAAACCTAACAGGGTGCTCAGACAGAGGCTGGTCCACCCTGAGGAATAACTGACTGATTTTGTTGGAATTTAATTCAATTTTTCAATTCAGTTCAATTCAAAAATACTTTATTAATCCCAGAGGAAAATTAAATGTTGTAACTCATCATCCTGGTTTCATTAAAGAGTTGTTCTAGATGCTGATGGCTGTGGGCTGGAAGGATCTCTTGTAGCGGTCTGTCCTACAGCAGATCTGAAGAAACCTCTGACTGAAGACACTGTTGTTGTATGACAGTCTGATGAAGAGGATGCTCAGGGTTGTCTATAATGTTATTCATTTTATGAAGAATCCTTCTTTATACAGCCATCTCCAAAGGAGTCCCCAGAACAGAGCCATCCTTCTTTATGAGCTTGCTGATCTTTTTTAAGTCACTTGCTCTGGTGCTGCTCCCCCAGCAGATGATGGCAGAAGAGAGAGCGCTCTCTACAACAGACTTATAGAAGATATACAGCATCTTGCTGCAAACATTGAAGGACTTCAATGTTTCCTCAAGAAGTACAATCTGCTCTGTCCCTTCTTGTAGATGGCTTCACTGTTGCAGCTCCAGTCCTTTCTGTTGGTGAATCACACCTACCCCCCACCCCCAAATATAGGAGGATCTGCGGTGGAGGTGGTCTCCAGCTACAAGTACTTGGGTGTGAACCTGAATGACAACGTCAGCTGGAGCAACAACACCACCAGCCTGATGAAGAAAGCTCATCAGAGACTCTACTTCCTCAGGCAGCTGAGACGAGCTGGTCTGGGAAGCTCAGTCCTCACCTCCTTCTACAGGTGTGCAGTGGAGAGCATCCTGTGCTCCAGCATCAACTTGTGGCATGGAGGCTGCACAGCTGCAGAAAGAAAAGCTTTGCAGAGAGTGGTGAAGGCTGCACAGAAGATGTTAGAGTCAGTCTCCCCACCATCACAGACATCTACACCTCCAGATGCAGGTCTTTTCTCAGGTCTTTTCTGGTCCAGTTTCAGTTCTCTGGACCTTTTGTCCATTATGTTCAAATGTCTCCAGCACCTTCATTTTGGATGGAACTGCTTTTGTGTCCAACAGTCTTTAAATCAAACCAGATATTTACATTTGTACTGAGGTTTGGACTTTAACCGGACCATTCCAGGACCTTTACCTGGTTCTTCTTAAGAGCGGAGAGTCCTTCAGTTGTGTCTTCACTGTCAATGTTCTGCTGGAAAATGGACCTCTCTCTTTGTCTCAAGTCACAGGAAGACCTAAAAAAGTTCAAGAATTTCTCTGTGTCCATCCATTTGTTCAGCTTTGACCTATTTCCAGTACCGGAAAATAAAAAAAACATCCCTACGGCATGATACAGTCACTACCGTGCTTTGCTGTGTAAATGGTATTGTCAGGTATTTCATCTCATCTGACTACAGCACCTTCTCCTACATGTTTGGGGATAAAACTGCCACTCTTCCATAAAGCTCAGCTCTGAGCAGCTTCTTATGGTCCTTCAGACAGACTCTCCATGTTCCAACACCATCAGTGCCCACTGTGGTCTCTTTGATAAGTCTTTGATGTAAGTCCTCCTTACCTGCTCCATGAGACTTGGTGGATGAACCTCTCTTGACAAGTCTGATGTGGTGTCATTATTATTGAAGCTCCGTGGGACATTCAGCATTCTGGGATACTTTTCATACCCCAACCCTGATCTGTACTTTTCCACAGCTTTTGTCTCTGAACTTTGTGAACAGTTCATTAGTGTTCAAGGTTCAAGGTTCTTTATTGTCATTCAATCATATGTGATACATGAGGTGGTATGAAATTTTGTACCCAGTTATACCGAAAAATAGCAAAAACATAAAGTATAAAAAGAAACAGTTTAAAAAGATCTAAGATATATACTAAACACTAATAATGTAAAATAATACATTATATTAAACGGCAGCCTGAACAGCTGGTCGTGGTGGCATAGAGGTTAGAGAAGGTGAACCTGTGATCGGAAGATTGTTGGTTCAACTTCAGGTCTCTCTTGTAAATGAGTCTTCGTGGCTCAATGAGGCTAACCTGTGTAAATAAATATTGAATGAAAACTTCCAGTACTGACAACATCAAAATATAAGTGGGATAGGAAAAGCACCCACACCTCTCTCCACCCTCATTTGCTGCACTCTGGGCCCTTGAGGGGGCAGCATGGTGGCACAACTGGTAGAGCTGCTGCCTCTCAGTGAGCAGGTCCTTGGTTCAAACCCCGGTCCAGGGGTCTTTCTGGGTGGAGTTTGCATGTTCTCTCCGTGCATGCGTGGGTTTTCTCCGGGTGCTCCGGTTTCCTCCCACAGACCAAAAACATGCATGTTAGGCTGATTGGTAACTCTAAATTGTCCCTAGGTGTGAATGAGAGAGTGAATGGTTGTTTGTCTTGTTGTCTCTATGTGGCCCTGTGATGGACTTGCGACCTGTCCAGGGTGTACCCCGCCCCTCGCACAGTGATTGCTGGACATGGGCACCAGCGACCCCCCATGACCCAAAATGGAATAAACGGGTAAAGAAAATGGATGGATGGATGGATGGATGGATGGGCCCTTGAGCAAGGCCCTTACACACACACACACACACACACACACACGCATCTGCTCCCTCGGGCTCCCTAGATAGCAGCTCTCTGCTCCACACAGAGGGCTGTGGTAGCTCGGTGGTCTGTGGTTGTGTCAGGAAAGGAATCTAGCATAAAAATAATTTTTAAGTCTTTGTGCGACTGTTCGCTGTGGCGACCCCTGACGAAGGGAGCAGATATGTATAAATACAGCAGCTTAAAGGCAAGAAATCAGCAGCATGGATAATCGGCAGCACAGATAAGTCACATATCACCAATTAAAGTGGCATTACAGTGATTTTTCTTTCTTTTATTAACAGTGATTTTCCTGGTTAGGGATTTATGAGTCTAACAGCTTCAGGGTAGAAGCTGTTCCTCAGTATAGTGGTTCTAAACTTAATGCTCCTCAAACTCCTGCCTGAGGGGAGTGGGGCAAAAAGTGTGTGCGCTGGGTGAGTGGGGTCCTTCATGATGCAGGAGGCCCTCTTCCTGCATCTGGAGGTGTAGATGTCTGTATAGGTGGGGAGGCTGACTCCAGTAGACTTCTGTGCAGCCTTCACCACTCTGCAGAGCTTTTCTCTCTCCAGCTATGCAGCCCCCATGCCACACGTTGATGCTGGAGCACATGCTTTCTCTTGCTTGACAGTAGCACTAACAACTTAAGGCCTGGTTAAACATCAACAAGATGTAAGACGTCATATCTCGTTGATGCTATTATATGCTCTTTTACTCGCGGACATTTAATATTCAAAAGAGAACTGCAGGGGATGAACCCTAATAAGCTCCTCTCAGTTAAGTCCACGTCACATCAATCAAAACCAACACAGATTGTTAATTTACAGCTGATGATGGAGGAGTTGGGGCAAGATCTGATTTTTCTGTTGTTGACTGAGTGTTACGACTGCCGATGTATGTTTCTGTATGTATGTGCCATTCCTAATTGTGAAATTAATGCCAAGGTGCACGGCTGGAGGAAGACCTTGAGGAGTGGAGCGGTGATTGGCTGCCTGCCTGGAGGTGCTGCATACAAGGAGTTGTGTTGGAGATGACGTCGGCTTTTCCATTACATCCTGATGCATGCTCAATAACCCAGGTAGAAAAATCTAAAAAAGTTAAGTCTGGCCTCCTGGACATGCAAAAAACAAAAAACAAATTAAAGCTGCAAGCAGCATTGTAGGCCCTCGCAGCAAAGCGCTGCTCCGGCCTTATTGCGACCGCGGGAGCTCCAGCTAGTCCACCCGGTCGCCATCGCGAACGCTCTTGTGCCAATCCCGCACACATTCACCATGGGGCACATTTCCCGAATCTTCAACATCACCTTCCGTCCATGTCAGTACTTGTCCAGCTTCAGGTCTTACAAGTATAGGCGAAATCCGACCTTCCAGACAGGAGTTATTGTGACTTGCTGTTTTGTGGCGAATGTTTGACGAGCAGTTTTTTAATGCTTTTCAACATGTCATGTGTGGTAATCAACAGTTAGTAAACAAAGTTTCAGTCTAATATCTTACACAGGGCGAAGCTGGAAGAGTCATCCAATAATCAACAGTTTTTTTTCCTCTGAGTAGGTGGGGCTTAAGTGATGTCATGAATCAACAATACCAATGTGTCTACAAGTATTCACGGACAA